TATTTACATTTCTAATGATATGTTTGCCTATTATTTTATACTTATTTTATAGAAAATCCTTATTTCTCTATATAAAAGTACATATTCTTGCTCGTTTTTTCCAGACAAACATAATACCTACACAAATCAGATATATTTTTCATATAAACATACCATAAATATGTAAGTATAATTGTTTGATTACTAAAATAGAAAATTGTAACAGAAAATAAAGGAAAACCGTTCAAGGTAATAAAATTTAAGTACTTTTCATTTTAATCTATTTTTTATTTTAAAATTTTATTTTATTTTTGTTTTTCACAGAAATTTGTTACATTTAATATTCCAACACCAATCTTACAACTATTACACCTATCTATCACCATATTTCGAATTTTTCCACTTTGCTCCCCAAGCCCTGCCCCCATAGTAGGACCTAAATCATTTCTATTGTATGCTTGTTATGATATATAATAATCTAAAAATGATCCAAAAATGTTTTCTTAAAGGAAAGTGTGTGAAGATTGTTGCATTTCACCCCGGAGCTATAAAGCCCTTGAATGAGACTACTTGAATGAGATTTCACACAAACACATTCACTCTAGGAATTCAAGACACTCTTTAAAAGCTTATCTCAATTATATACTAAATACTAATAGTGGAAAAAAATGTGTCTAACATTGATTGCTGATGGAAAAAATAACTGATACTATTAATGAATATGTTTGTAATTTTCAGGTACTAGTTAGTCTTAAAAATTCAAAGTTGGCTTTTAAGAGCTGATATTGGCAATTCATATGATGGTATCATAAACTACCTCACGAAATTTTTTTGAACAGAAATACTGAGAGGAGAAATAAATCATTACAAACCACAAAAAAGCTATATCATTTCAATCCTTTTTTGTTATTCTTTTTCACATTTCTGTTTCTTATAATATTAATAGATTAAAAGGTATTGATAATTTCAATTAACAGTAATGATAATGATGCTATAGCACTGTCATCCCATTGTTCATCGATTTGCTCAAGAGGGCACCAGTAACATCTCCATTGTGAGACTTGTTGTTATTGTTTTTGGTATATTGAATACTCCACAGGAAGCTTGCCAGGCTTTGCTGTGCAGGCGGGATACTCTCAATTGCTTGCCGGGCTCTTTGAGAAGGGTGAAGGAATCAAATCCAGGTCGGCTGTGTGCAAGTCAAATGCCCTACCCACTGTGCTATCGCTCCAGCCTATTGTGAACTAACAATGATGATATTGATATAATGATGCTATCACTTAATCACTTAATGATGCTATATTGATACAAATTTGAGATTATAATTTTATAATTATAAATTTATAATTTATAAATTTATTACTCGTAAAGTTTAATTTATAATTTATAATTTATAATTTATAAATTATAAATTATAAATTATAATTTATAATTTTAAAATTTATTTATTCATTTATTTTGGTGTTTGGGCCATATCAAATAATGTCTTGGGCATACTCCTAGTCCTATGCTCAGGGATCATCCCTGGCAGTGCTTAGGGGATCATTTGTGGTTCCAGAGATTAAACACAGGTCAGCCTAATGCAAGTTAATCAACTTCCTCATTGTACTATCTTTCTGGTCCTAAGATTGATTATAATTGATTAGCCATTATGCTTAACACTTTACCTGCATTGGTTTATATAACCATTGGTTGATCTAGTAAATAGTGGCACTGATAAAATACCTACAATAAAAGTATATCAGATGTATAGAATAGTTTTCGTAAAAAGTATTCAGTTAAGAAATGAAATAAAATTGAAGAGGGAAGGTTTTAAAGATGGTTATTAGTTTAGCATTTATTATTTACTCTAAGCCAGGTTTGTTTAAGGAAACTATGCAGATTATTTTGGAGAAAGACAGCCTCCCAAATGTGTTCAGAAGGTCTAAGAACCCATCCCAGTACTCAGACTGGTAGTTCAATGTGAAAGTCTGAAAATATGGTTCTGCATCAGCCCTGTAGTGCCAGGGATTTCATGGGTCACCCAGGGAGTACTGGAGACTTCCAGAACTTCACCCATTGACACTTTGAGATTCCTTCATAGTTACAGCCAGAATTGCAAAGGATCAGGTTATCTGCTCTATGAAAGACACAGGTCTTAATTTCTATATAATTTCTCCCTCCTTGTTATTTAGATTTGAATTCTCTCCCAAATTCTAGAGATAAGAAAATTTTCAGAAAATAAACTCCATGTTCAAATTCATAGAGCCAGCAAATGGCAAACAGAAGACTCATATTCTACAGAACATGACCCTACTGTGTATTAATTATTAATATCTTCAGTGAGTTTCTGGTTTAGCTGAGTTTTTTAATTTTTCAACAAGGGCCTTGGGAACAGAAAACCTTCGTTGGGATCCCTATGTTGAGACATAAGGAAAAAATTTGAAGCCGGCTGAAATGAAATCAAGAATGATTTAGCCAGATCCAAATCTTTTTCCTTTATACAAAAATTTATACAATTATGTGTCCTTTATACAAACATTTCACATATCTGGATATGCTAATTTTGTCTATACTCTCAAAGGTTATTTATTCCCTTTGCGTCTTAGAATGCAAAACTATTGGAATGATCTTAGGTAAATGCTTTGTTTTCTTCAACAATCAAGAAATTTAACTCTATTGAGTTATATATTTTCAATAAAGAACCAATAATCTTTACATTTTTATTAAGACTTGAAAAAATGGAATATGTTAGTGTTTTCATATCTGATTCCAACTTCCATATTTGTAATCCAGATTTAAGAAGCACTGTAGCACTGTGTTCCTGTTCTTCAATTTGCTCAAGGCCCAGTAACATCTCTATTGTGAGACTTCTTGTTACTGTGTTTAGCATATCAAATACATCACAGGGAGCTTGCCAGGCTTTGCCATGTTGGTGAGAAACTCTCGGTAGCTTGCTGCTTACTCTCCAAGAGGAGGGGAGGAATCAAACCCAGGTCAGCCTGTTCAGCCGCTTGCAAGGCAAACTCTCTACCTGCTGTGCTATCGTTTCAGCCCTGTCACTGTCACTGTCCTCCCATTGTTCATCGATTTGCTCAAGGGGGCCGAGTAAAGTCTCCATTGGAGACTTTGTTGTTACTGTGTTTGGCACATCGAATACGTCACGGGTAGCTTCCCAGGCTCTGCTGTGCGGGCGAGATACTCTCGGTAGCTTGCCGGGCTCTCTGAGAGGGGCGGAGGAATCGAACTCGGGTTGGCCATGTTGGCTGCGTGCAAGGCAAACGCCCTGCCGCTGTGCTATCACTCCAGCCCAGCTTTAAGAAATCCAAATTAAATGTGACAGATCATGGTGGAAATGGAATTATAATCAGAGATCCTTATGTTGGGTATATATTGGGTCAAATGTCATATGAGGAATCAATAAGCTGTTAGTGAAAATATGTCCAATTTTTTAAAGTAACAACAGTTTTCCAGAGACTCAGATATTAGTTAATGTTATATTAATGTTATCAGTGAATATCACTATGGCATACAAGAAAAAAACCTTTTATGGAAAAAAAATCATCCTTTATCTGGGAAACTTAACAATAATTAGCAAGAAGTATGTTTTCATATTGCAGGAAGCAGATGTGCTAGCTGAGACTTTGAACTGTATTTAGGAATCAATAGGACATAAATTTTGATCAAAGAAGTCTTAGAACTAGAAAGCAGGCTGGCAGTTCTTAGAGAGGCTGCGATCCCTGGTAACTCTGGGATAAGACTGGTGACTCTGTAATAACTGCTTCCCAGCTTTGGCAAGCATCATGCTTTGGCATCAACCCTCCTATCAATTGTAGATCATCCTTGTTCAACCCAAAGCTGTGTTTGAATCCAAAGATGTGTTTGATTCTTTTGTTGTCCTTTCCCTCACCTAAGTGTCCTCCTCCTGAATAAATTCTACTCAAATACTATCTAACCAGTACAGGCACAATACAGTCTGCTTTTGGTGAGTATATGTCAGGTCATCATACAACTCCCAGGTAAGACCAAGATCCAGTATCATACAAATTGAGGACATTTCTGCATTCTAATTGTTGTAAATCATTTATACTCGCCATTAAAAAGCCTGTTTAGCCTGTTTAAATCATTTATACTCACCATTAAAAAGCCTGTTTGCACCATGCAACCATTCCTTACCGCAAAAACTGCACGTTTCATATCTACATACTTTTTACTCTGTTATTATCTACTCAAAGCTTTCCTATGTGATTCCTCGCTGTTCAGCATAGCTACACATCTTAAAAAATATCACAAGTGATTTTTTTTATTGATACTTGTTTCCTGATCTGTTACATACCTCAAGTTTTTAACAAATATGCTGTGTTTTAAAATATATTAATGTCCTGGAACTAGGATAAAAGTTGCCCATAAATGGTTCATAACCTAATCTGAGAAAGGTGAAAGGAATTTAAATTTTAACATCATCATCATCATCATCATCATCATCATCATAATCATCATCATGATTACCATTTCTCAGCTTATGGAAAATATTTATTATAAGAATTAAAGTAAGAAGGTGAGAAAACTTACATTTTTAGTGAAAATCTGATAAAAAAAAAAGCTTGGTTCTTAAACTTTTGAGTACATTGGGAACATCTTTAAAGTTGATTTAGTAGGTTAATGATGTGGTCTCAGACTAGAAAAACTTCTATTCCATTAATATAGATATGATTTAGAGATCTATACCAATTACCTTAGCTCATATTTAGTTAAATACTACCAAGAAATATTGACATAGCACCTGGTCCAAACATTTATGTACACTCTTGTCTTCAGTTTTTCATCCACAAATGAGGGTTGGTAATTAGAAGACCCCTTTGAAACAAATATGTTAAAATATTTTCCTGGAATAAATGCTGACTAAGTATTCTTATGATCGTAATGACTATGTCATCTTTACTTTACTTTCATTTTAATTTTTATAGATGTGTTTCATATTTATTTGGGGGGTAATATAATTTTAAAATCCAAAAGTAAAGAATACACAAAGAAACACTTACAGTAGTTTGTTGCTTTTCTACTTTATCAGTTGCCTCTTTAAGTTGAATATGCAGGGTTTCATGGAGAGACTTCAACTGTTCTCTAGTTGAAAATTGCAAAAAAAAAGATACTTTTTTAGCTATTTACTTTGTACATGTTAAACATTTTAATTATTTTACAATATATATAAAACATATAAGTACCGCGCGTGGTAACTAGAATTGTATAGCATGAAAATGCCACTTATTTGTTAGGTTTCTTGTAACAAAAACCTTTCTCCCCCATTCAAGTATTTAAAACAAGCTGTAGTTAATGGAAATTGCACTGTTATTGTGTCTTATGAGAATCCCAACTGGAAATAATCAGTGTGCAGCATGATGTGTTAAATAAAATTAAATAAATGGTAATTCTTGAGACAATATGCCAAAGTGTGAGCGTGTTTTATTTTTTTTAAAGCTAGAGATTACTGATAGGATGCTCCTGATTGATTAATTTAAATTTCAGGTTTATAACCCTTTATAACACCTGAGATTGTTCTTGAAGACAGAGAAAAGAAACGTATTTCTAACTTGATAGTTAATTAAGTATGAATAATATTGTACCACTGTCCTCCCATTGTCCATTGATTTACTCGAGCGAGCCCAGTAACGTCTCCATTATGAAACTTGTTGTTACTGTGTTTGGCATATTGAATACGTCATGGCTAGCTTGCCAAGCTTTGCCGTGCAGGCTAGATACTCTTGGTAGCTTGCCAGGCTCTCCAAGAGGGGCAGAGGAATCGAACATGGACCAACCGCGTCAGCTGCATGCAAGGCAAACGCCTTACCCACTGTGCTATCACTCCAGCCTGGAGCAATAGCACTATGAATAATAAAAAATGAAATACTATTTTACTGGGAATAATAAGACAGAATTTCTTTTAACATGTGTCTCAAGATCATTAATGTGCATGGAAACTGCTTTACTTGTTAAAAATTGTAATCTGTTTGTTTGGTTTGGGGTTTTGGTTTTTGGGCCAAACCTGGCAATGCTCAGGTGACTCCCAACACTGCATTAAGGAATTACTCTGGTGGTGCTCTGGGAACCAACTGGTATGGTAGGGATGGAATTCAGATGGCTATATGTAAGGCAAGTCCCCAAAATCAAAATATTTCTTTATACATGTACTTATCTCAGGGGTTTAGCATTTATTATTTACCATAAATAACATATTTCTTAGCTTAATTTTTATTGTTTTAGCTGTTAATATCATGTGGAGTCAGATAATTCCAATTGCACTTTGATTGATCACTCAGATGTTGAGTGTCTTGCACAGAATTCTATGGTTACAGGGAACTTTAAAAAGATACTATTTCATGTATCTTCCATATAAATTGTAAATACAAAACACACTCATCTGAACCAACTCTGTGTCTGTATTTATTTCTCATTTTCTCATATAAAATGCATATGAGTGTATGCACACATACGTACACATATGCACACACATACAAACATACACAACTCTTTCTTTCTTGGCAAAAAGGAAAACTGTATATGTCTTCATCAAATCCTCAGAATCCACAGTATTTTAAACAAGTTTTCCAATTTTAGATAAAACTCTGAAGTTTAACTACCAAAAAATCAAAATCATTTGATCCTTTCATTGAAATACGTGGCCATCATCTGATAGTTTGTATACTAAATGTCTGTATAATTAGCTGAAATTTTTAATAAATCCACACAATTTCCCTGGCTATATTCTGTGCATTAATTTAGAAATCCATGTTGTTATATAATGCACAACAGAGCAAATTCTAATGAACAACAACTCTCAATAATTTATTTAAGTACTTTGAACAATTATTTTCTATTAAATAGAAACAATATCTTTAGGTTATTTAAAAATATTTTTAAAGCAGCAATATCAAAAGACAATTTAAGAAAATATCTACCAGTAAAAGCAATAGATTTTTCCTTGCTTTCAGCCTATCTCCTCATCTTCATCTCTCCTGTGGTGAAGGAAGGATGCTTTCACTACATGATCTTCCCTGGGCATTTGCCCATCCTCTTGTCTAAGTCATATTTTCTTGCATCAGTCTGTCTCTTTCTATGCTGAACACTGCTGGCAGAGTAATTCCCCTAAATTACTTTAATTATGTCAGTCTCCTACGGAGCTACCAAAAATGGGTTTTCTATGGTTTCTGGCTCAAGTTCACTTTGTTTTTTCTATTCGGCCACTTCTCTGCATCAGTTTTCTATGTAAGGGAGATGTCAACAATCTCAAGGAGCTGTCTTTCGTCCCCATCTGTGCATGCAGCTTTATACTCTCATCTTCCTGACCCTCTATTCCTTAGTCATTACAACCTCCTATGGAGATGATATATCTATTTCTAAGATTTCCATTTATTAGCATTTCCCAGTATGGAATGCCCAGCCAAAGTAGCAATTTTCAATACTGCTATAGTGACTGGTGTTATTAGTGTTAATATTCACCAACTATGAATGAATGGCAAGTACATGTATAACATACTGATGAGTTCTAATAGTATGATTAAAATTAATAAAGCAGTTATAAACATGTATTTTTGGAGATTTCTCAGATCAATATTTTTATAAATGATTTTAATATTGAATAGAGAATATTCACACCTAAGAAGCTATATTTTTCATTTAAATAATAAGCAATAAAAGACAATTGGCACAATATTAATGGATCTCATCCACTAAACTAAAATATATGCGATGAGAAATATATTCTGGGACAACGGAGAGGATAAATATATGAGAAGAGACAGTATCGTGAGTTCATCAGCTTTTAAACAGATTTTTGTTTAGTGTTATGTGAATTAATGTAGAAGGCATTATTATTTTATGTCACAACAGAGCAAATTCCAATGAACACAACTCTCAGGAATTTATGTAAGCACTTTGAGCCACTGTTTTCTATTAAATGGAAATTGTATCTTTTGGTTAATTATGAGGATGACACAAGAAAATGTATGAAGTATCTAGAAGCAAAACAACCTGATGTACTATTTATGAATGCCTTATTACTAGGATTACTTTGTGCCTTATATGTCTAATATCAGAATTATGACTATTCTAATTCTATTAAAATTTTACATTCTATTCTATATTGGTAGTTCTATCATTGGGCAGATTTTTTTAGGCTACCTACTAATTAGAGAACAACGTAATACAGCAAAAAACACTCAGCTTCTGATCTGCAGTCAAGCAGAATCAGCATCAATAATACCTGATATTTACTCTATGAGTTGCCATTTGAATAAGAGGTCATATATTCAGTGATAATAAGACTGTTTGCATGCATTTAGAATGAACTGATTCATGTAATGTTTCTGGATGAAGTTTGAAATTATAGAAAATAAAGAAAGGTGAAAATGAAAAAGAACGCTTACCTTTGTTCGGTCCCTATCAGCAGGAGCTTCTGAACATTGTCTTTGGCATTTTTTTCATCATTTTTCAAAGACTGGTAAGAAAAGTAGGGGAACAATTATTATTCAGGTAATCAGTATAGTCTCACTTTACTGTTGGTTTCAAGACACAATGTGTTACTTTTGCCCTGGATCTTGAATGTGCAAATGAGGCCACAGTGACCCCCTTACCTCTAAAGATCCCCCAGGAATTTATAACTACAGCATGTGATACAATTTAGGTGAAAGGGAATGAGCTGAGCCTTGGCCTTTAGGTTAGATGGATAAAGAGTTGTCTAATTATCTTGGTCTTTTTATAAGTGAATATAAAATGTATCTTCTGCTCTTTATTTGAAGTTTTGTTGTGTTCTTTGCAGCAGTACTTAACCAGTTGTGGCTGCATAATTTCTATATATACAAGGAGATATACAAATCTTTCTTTTACTCGATTATGCTAAATAATAACACTTCTCAAGATCAAAGCAGCCAAATGTCATGCTCCTCTTTGGTTTTGTCTGCTTATTTCTCATAAATAATGTATTAGAATAAACAGAAAAACGAAGGACATGTGAAACTGTGAGTGAACTATATAAATAAGGTGGCAAGGAAAAAAAAAGAACTCACTCAGTATTTATTTAATCTGGCAACACAGCTTTCATAGACAAGTACAACAGAAAAGATAAGACAGCTTTCCTCATTAAAGTATCTGTATGGAGATGCTCCCCATAAGAACTTTCTTATTTGTGCTCAATAAACTACTTAAGAGAGCAACCTATCTTTCTTGATATTAAAAGTTACATCTAAAAGGCAGTAATAGTGTTTACTGAGAGAGCACTTGAAAAAGCAGGGAACTGACAATAGCAAGCATGGCAAACACATTGTTTACTTAATATTTATTTAAGACATAGCTATCATAAATTATGCAAAGGCTTGATATCTGCCTTTATAAATCTTTCAAGACTGAAACAGATAATTTTTATAGAATAATAAGCATCTTGACAAGAATGTTGTGGGCAGTATATCCAAAGAGGAAATCTCTTCCCTGATGAGGGATAAGTCACTTTTAGGAGGAGCAATAAAAAGGGTTTTGCTTGCTTAGAAAGAGTATTTTCAGGAGAAGTTAAAGGAAACAGTCACCAGTCATTCTAAAGATTTACATCACTGTGAAACACGGTCTTATGATTTACATCAGTTTATCCAAAAATATTAAAATGCATCTAATTACAGAGGTGTTTGCCTTGCTTCCTGCTAACCCTGGTTGAAATCCCTGGTATCACTTTTGGACCCTTGAGCACATCCAGGGTCATTCCTGAGTATGAAACTATAAATTTCCCCTAAACACTCTGGGTTTGTCCCCCACCAACCAAAAAGAGAAAAAAAAAGAAATCTTCTATTGTAGAAAAATAGTGCTTATAACTTTTTAAAGTGAAAATCAGTACTATACAGGCACAATGCAAATTCAGTAATTTATTTATTGACATCTGCTGAGTTTTCAAGTATGCCATGGTTTAAAAGGCAGAGAGGACCTTCATCCTCACAAAATCAAGACATTAAATATGTGACTCAGAAAATAAAAAAAAGAAATGTGTCTATATAGCGATAGGGGTCAGGAAGGTATATTCAATTCAAATTCATAGTGTGCAAGGAAAGATTCTTATTTCTTTGTAAAGATAGAAAAGATGTATATGAGTACTAACTAACTCTTTTGAATTAACAGACAAAAGAGTATTTAACAAAAGAACTAGATCACGTGGGATCTTTTTTTTACTAATTACCATTATCACCAGGAGAATAAAGTATGAAAATTGTGGTATCTCCATCTGACTAAGAAACACGGTTCAATGCAATAAGTAATAGACCTATTGTCAGCATTCAAACTCATGCTTCTTTGTAACATTTAAACGTAACTTATCATCCTAAACTAGATTATGAAAGATTAAAAATATAGCAATCAATCACCACAAAGAAATACACAAAAGTAAATCATCTTCTTAATTTAAGTATAAGTTCTCCATATATGTTAAGATTTATACTCATATATTTCATTTTTAAACTAAAACTTATCTTGTGCTTTTTAAAAATAAGATTTAGCCATACTATTATTTGCTCACAGAATGACATTCTTCTTTGAAGATATTTACTTATTGAGTAATAAGCTTTTAAAAGAATCTTCAAAACAAACCTATGTGGAATTTAATTTTTTTCAAGAAATAGTACCCATACTCATTGAACTATTAATTATAATTGTTTTATCACTTTATGATAATGAAAATGAACATTTGGGTGAAATTGATCTTAGAATGTATAAGAAAATAATCGCTTTTCCATAACTCAATTTTCTCATTCATGAATTTGCAAACAGAAAAATTTCCTAAACTATACATCTAAAGGCATTTTATTTTCAACAGTCATAAAATAATAAATAACTAGTGCTAAAAAGTGCAGAAGTCTTTATATGTTATTTCACAAAGACAAAATAAAGTGGACTTTCCTTTCCAGCTGAAAAAAATATTTTCATCTTACTTGAAGGTTGCTTTTAATTCCAACGAGTTCTCTTGAATTTTTTGCCATCTGATGGAGCATGATGCTTCTCTCCTTAGCAATTTCCTTTAGCTTCCTTTCTAGTTCGTGATAGTTCTGTCTAACACAGAAAGAAAAGGCATGAGAGTCCCTTTTCAAACATTTTCACTCAATGTTTTTGACGTTGGTGAGCTGACTTCACCACAGTCATCAGAAGTCCTTTCCTTAAAGTTGAGATTAATTACAATATTCAACACTGATTTTTGGATGTTTTAGTCATTTAAGTGGGAAAATTTGAAAAAGTAAATATTTGTATCAAAATATTTACTTTTTATTAAGGACTCACCATGCTACATAGATTCCATAATAATACTGCACATCATATATACACATATACATATATTCATATTTATATATTGCATATTATAAGTAACCTCAAGGAAGTTTTATAGCAAGAGATATATTTTGAAATTGGTAAAATATATGAATTAACCCTTCTCTAAAAATGTTAGATAGACTACAGAAACAGAAACAAAATACATACAATGACTTAAAATTAAGGAAAGGCAAACACATACAAAAATAAACATAATGGTAAAGAAACTTAACAAATAGCTTCATTCATTGACAAAATATGTAAAAGTTAAATATGAATTCAGCAAAAACTATCATGATTACCAGAAAAAATGAGGAAGAGAATGATTGTTTTTGGTACTAAAATGACAGTGAAAATTAGGTGACAAAAATGTAAAGCCTCAGATACATTCAGATGGATAAATATATCCCAGAAATTCAATACCATGGTTTAAGAATGATAACTCAGTATAGAAAGTTGAATCACTATAAGACAATTTACTTATTTTATATCTAAATAAATATAAATTACGTTGAATTTACATAATTCATAAATGGATATGGTTATTTTATTAGTTAATAGAGCTATGCCATTGATATATAATATATGTATATATACATATATATAATTATGGTGTAGTATACGAGAATAGTCAGGTTCAGATATTAGGGATACACCTGGCAATTCTTGGTGCTACTGATTCTGTTCTCATGGTTCATGCCTGTTGGGTATGGGTTGGTCCCCCATGCCCCATATGTGCCAAGTACTGAACCCATATGAACCAAGTGCAAGGCAAGCACTTACCTGCTCTACTGTGTTTCTAATTTTCTTATTTAATCTGTGCAAAAAAGTTATTGTCATTTTAATACCACACTATAGATTGAAATGGCAATATTATATTGTCATTGTAATACTATAGTTTTCAATTTTCTCATTAAATATGTGCAAGAAAGTTATTGCCATTTTAATATGAAAAACATTATAAAAATGGTTAGTTGCCCTAATTTTACTTATGAAATGAATGATCATATATGTGTATATGTGGATATATTCATATAAATTTTGGTGGACCTCTATGTTTCTATGTAGAGAAAATATACAGTAAGAAATAACAATGCCCAGAGAAGCCTAAACTGTAAATGATAAGGGAAGACTTAAATGCTTAGTGAAGCACATATATAAATGGCTAGCTCAGGAAAGTCTTTCTCTAAAACATAGTATAAACATGTCCTTTGGAAAATTATTTATATAGGTGGGGAAATATATATAAATGAAAATAAGCTTGTTGAAATTTTTAAAGTGCATGCATTTAAATTAATATAAAAAGAACAGGTTGCAGTGAACATTTACCTGAGAAGTCCAGTTTTACTCAAACTTGAAGGAAAATTATTTAAAGAAATGGCTTTGATTTCTTCGTTTATAAAATGCAATAGCAATGCCACCCAGAATATTGCATATTCTTGAGTAATATGTGTAAATAGTTGAAGTGAGCATAAATAATTAAAAATATAAAATTCCTATTATTGAATAATGTAATGCATTTCTGTATAGCTATAAAAAAGTCAAATATATCAATGACCTTAGTAATGATTAAGGAATGTATCATCTTCAATATGTTCGTCTTACTAGTCTTTGCTTTTCCTTGTGTTTTAAATGCAAATGCCAATGTTCTGGTTTGAAAGAAAACAGAACATTCTACTGCTGAGCACCTAAGTGGTTCTCCCAGGCTTTAAAATTTTCTCTAATGAAAAATAATGAACCAGTAACAAGACAGTTATTAATGCCCCAGGTTCCCTTTTATTCTCAGCAAAGTCAAATGAAGAATGGCAAGGCACAATTTCACTTACTCAAATTGTGAACTTTCTTTACTTATTTCCCTGTTTGTTTCTTCTGACTATTTGTAGCAATAAATCTATCTAAAATACATCGAAAGATGTATAATTATAATGTTATATAGCATTGTGCACATTAAAGACATCTATTTACATATTTTATTTTAAAATACTAAAGACAAAAACTACTTGGTTCCATTTTATAAAAGCTTTTCTATAAATAAATTACTTCTTTATTGAAGAAATTCAGTCACAGACATAGTCAGTCACAGGAATATCTACGATGATTTTTTTTCTGTTAAGGATGTGTTATATAACTTAAGAACATATTGAATGATGAGGAATTTACCACAGCAAATCTACACAGAACTTAATGTATATTATGTATTCCTTCACTGTTACTTTAAAATGATTTTAAATCAAATATATGTAGTGTTGAATATACTTTGTGTTTTTTTCCTATATTGCACAGAAACAATTATTTTGTTTTTATTGCAGCGTAGTATAGTAGGAGATAATGATACTGAAACATATATTTTATAGCATTGAAGGCAAAAGCATGCATTTTTCCAGTTTTTTAATGTTATGAACAATGCTGCTATGAATGTTATATATGCCTTGTATCAGTATAAACATTTAAAAATGTTTTACATGAAACTAAAATTAAAGTGCTCCATTATGGGTCATGTATTTTTCAAGTTTGTCAAATACACTATTATTTTCCCCTGAAGCAACTGTAGTATACAAGATACAGTATTTCCAATAACAGTTCAGAAAAAAAAATGTCAAAAGCAGCTCTAAAGCAGAAAAGTTAGAAATCATAATGTAGTTTCACAGGGCTTGTTTAGGAACTTGCTTTATATATTACCAACACTGGTTAAAATACCCAACACCACATATGGGCCCTTGAGCACCACCAGGGATCCCAGAAGAGCACAGAGCCAGGAAAAGTCCTTGAGTACTACAGTGTGTAGACCAAAACCAAAACTAGGTGCTAAAAAAACCCCATTATAGCTATGATTTATATTTTGCTATAACTCATAAGGAACCTTGATAAAAAATTTACATGATAAGTTTTATAGTGCTTGTTCATACCGATTTTTTACACTGGTTTTTCCATTGCTAATTATAAAATTTTATTCTGTATTTATATATTCAATATAGGAGAGACTTGCTGGCTAAATATATTGAAAACATAATTTCCACTTTGCTTCTTGGATTTTCAATATTTTAATAGTTTCTTATGATGAAGAGAAATTCTTAATATAAGAATAGGTCAAATCATTAATAATTTACATTGTTATCCCTTTCATACTCAGATTAAGAAATTAGGACCCGTTCATTCTTATTCTATCTTTTAGATCTGAAATCCAAAAGGAATGTTTATATGAATTGCACAAATTAAGTACAATGTTACATTTTCATATTTACCTTATATTCAATAAACAAAATTACATCAACATATTTTGTAATTCATCATTTTATAAATTAATTTCCTTAACAAACATCTACTTCTTAATCTGTCAAATGACTCTATTATTTAGCTAATGGCTCACATTCAATTATTTCAGCTAATACAATTGTAAAATTTTAGCAAACTGCTTGAAGCTTGGTGCTGGAGGTAGCCCAGGTAATATCCAGCACTATAGAGGATATCTTTGACTCCTCACATTGAAATACAGACCAATTGGCCAAGAATCACTTAAAAATATAGATAATTACCACTCCTAGGAATATATCCCAGAGAGGCAAAAATGTATAGTCAAAGTGACATCTGCACTTGTTTGTTCATTGCAGCACTCTTTACAATAGCCAGAAACTGGAAGAAACCTGAATGCCCAAAAACAGATGTTAAAGAAACTTTGGTACATCTATACAATGGAGTACTATGTAGTTGTTAAAACAGATGAAGTCATGAAATTTACATACAAGTGGTACAACATGGAAAGGATCATGCTAAGCGAAAGGAGTCAGAAAGAGAGGGATAGACATAGAAAGAGTTCATTCATCTGGGGGATATAAAGTAACAAAATATGAGATTAATACCCAAGAATAGCTGAGATCAGCACCAGGAGGATTACTCCATAGCTTAGAGGCCAGCCAGGCATTCTAGGGGAAAGGGCAGCTCAGATAGAGAAGGGAGTACCAAATAAAGGGTGTTTGGAGGATCCTCCCAGGAGGGGAGATGCATGTTGAAAGTATACTATGGACTGAACATGTTTGCCACTCAATGCCTCTTTTGCAGACCACAAAACCCAAAAGGAGAGAGAGAACAAAAGGGAATGCCCTGCCACAGAGGCAGGGTGGGATGAGGGGATGGGGGTGGGAGGGATATTATCCATGGTGGTGGAAAATGGGCACTGGTGGAGGGATGGGTATTTGATCATTGTATAATCAAAACCCAAGCACAAAAAATTGTAAATCTACAACTGTACCTCATGGTGTTTCATTAATAAAAATTAAAAATAAATAAATAAATTAAATATATATATAATCGGTACACTAAATTTATTTTATGTATAAATTGCATTTAGAAAACTAAAAACTATTTTTAATGCACAATATTTTATATTATCTATAGGTATAAACATGCTTTGTATAAAATTGTAGCTTTCCATTTTAATAACCCTTATTTATCATATATATAGTTTTAAGAACATAGAATCTATTGCACAACATTCAATAGAATAATAATATATATTTTTATGAAGTATATTTATTAATTATCTTCTAGAAAAATGGTTCATTCTTACTCAGGACAGGAACTAAAACTCTGCTAAAACTCTGGGGACATTAGATACACAGCAAGAGTGAGCTATTTGATGTAATAATACATGAGACTTCTACATAGTATACAAGATAGGTCTTCAGAACTTGCCAGCGCAAAAGAAAAATCCTCAATGACAAGGTTTGTCAACACAATAATGCCATGAC